TAAAGTATGACAGGAAGTCTGCGACGTCGCAAACCGAAATACGTGGTTTGGTAGTTTCACCGTCGATATTCGTCTCTGATTGCAACGTTGTGTACCAATTTTTATATTTTATTTTTGTACATTGCTTTTAAAAAGCTACACACAGTTTTTCCACGAATTTTCCTAGATGATTCCAATTGTAAGCATCGAAAATTTCGATGCGATAATTTCGTTCATTCTATTTTATTTTTATGTGACAAAACAAAAAAATTAATATCCTCCGAGTTTGTGAATTTTTACAATGAGGACACACATTTTTCCTTTACTTGTGGTAAAAACCGTAGCAGAGAGGCAAGAATGATGACACGTAATCCTAATTTGACGGTGACTTTAGCGTCGCAAGAGCCAGGGAAGGGAACGCGGTGGAGTCATCTTTGCAGTGTGACGCGCCTTCCATTCGGCTAGCGGCAAAATACCTACACCCACGGTCGAATAGTTATCTCGTTACGCCTGCCGTAAATGAAATTAAAAATCGACGCCTGCACGCAGGAAATAAGTGTTCTTATCTCCGATTGCAGCGTTGCAAAACTCTACTCATTTTTTAGTTTTAATCCATTTTTTTATTAAAAAGAAGCTACACACAGTTTTTGTAGAAGTCTCCGAGAAATTCCCGGAAAGATTTGATTTAAAACTACCAAAAAATTCTGGCGCAATATTTCCGTTCGTTCTGTTTTCTTTTTATTAAACCAAAATTATTTTTACGCGAATCAAGTTACAGAATCGCTTCATCGTTTAAACACCGTCCGAGTTGCAGAATCGTTGCAATTAAGATATTTATTTACCCCTCAATTCTGGCAAAAACCGGGAGGGGGACGTCAAAAGAAATGATGCGTGGTCCTAGTTTTGCGGCGATTTTGGCGTCGCGCAAGCCAGGGAAGGGAGCTCAGCCAAGAGTCGAGTCATCTCCACAATGTGATGCGCTTTCAATCTAGATAGCGGCAATGTGCCCATACCCGTGGTCGAGTAGTCATCGCAAATAACTCTCGCATTGCGTTTGGTGCAATGCAAGAAGTATTCATGCAGTCTTGTAGGCGCTAATATGCGTCGGACGCCGACCGCACTGTTTCGCGCAATGCGTGAAGTATTCCTACAGCCTTGCAGGCGGTGCTATGGGTTTGACACCAACCGCACCGTGTTCTGCGCGATTATTCAAACTCGCGTTAGGATAATCGTGGCATCGAAAAATGGGGCTTAAAAGGTCCAGGTTGTGTTTCGACGCCGTACGAGCAGTCCAACGTTGCCTTGTTTCTTCCGATAAAACATATTTTCTGAAAAAAGTTAGAAAAGTTTTCTACGTTCGCTTCTTTAGATTGAATGGACCAAACAAGTTAAGAATTTAAGCACTCTGATACATGATTCTTCAACAGAATTTTAAGCAGAACATGATTTGCGCAACGAAACATACTGAAATCTACTTCTAGCTAAGCTATTGAAGTTTTTATTGTCCATTGGTTACGGGAACTGAATTCAAAGTGTGTACAGATTGCGCTTAGCGTCAAGATTGATGCAGCCATATTTTCATTCTAATGAGACTGTCATAATGACATTTGGCGTGCAATTTCACCCTAGTAAATTATTCTTTCTTCCGTGGGCGGAAAGGTTGAATTTATCCATACGAGACGATATTACCACGGTTAGGAGTTGATAAGGTTAGGATTTCCTCGTTGCCTATTGGTGTTTACACCGCGAGTGTGCAATCTTGGGTTCGAAGGATTGCGGGAATTTTCCAGCCTTTTGTTTGCTCATTTTTTTTCAATTTTTTTTAAATGAGGAAGATGCTAACTTTATCGTAGTATGTTGGAGTTTTTTGCTAAGTAACTCCGAAAACGCAGACGCAGGGGAAAGACGCAGAAGGCGCCCAATGAAAGGTTGGAGGGAAGGGATTGAAGCGGAAATGTTAAGTTGCTCAATCCCCCAAGATTTGTGGTTTGAAAGAGAACAGTGGAGGTTAGGAGTCGTAGAGCGCGAGGGAGTGCTGTAAAGCGACTTATATGCATGTATGTAACTCCGAAAATCGATTTATTCTATTTTCGCGAGTTGAAATGGCGAGAAAAAAATCAGTGGCGTGGCGTGAATAATCGATTATCGATATCTCGCCATTTGAAGCTATGGTGAAGAATCGATTACTAAGGTGTTCGCTGCGAACACCCTGATAATCGATCTTTTTACCATAGGTTTAAATGGCATGACAATCGTTATATCGCAATTCACGCCACGCCACTGAAAAAAATGCTGCCGACTTCCTTGAATCCGTGGATTCAGGCGAAAGAGTTACAAAATAAAAATCAATCAAGTGAAAGTCATCCATTTCGATGGCGTAAGTCCGAAATCACATATCTCCTTTGCGGTGTCTGAAAATCTTCCCCTCTATGTTATTTTTTTAAAGGAGAACAAATTTACACCATTCCTTGAAGTTTCTGCGGAATTTCCTTTGCACAGAGAGGGAAAATCACGGCAGTTTTAGAGAATTGTCATTGAGTAGTTTTCCGTTAAAAAAATAAAGTATGACAGGAAGTCTGCAACGTCGCAAACCGAGTTATGTGATTCCCGACTCACATTATCGATTATCTTGATGAGTCTGCGATTTAAGGGTCTGTCTTTTGCAAAACTGAAAGCTCCTGGTAATATGACTGCATAATACTCACGTGAACAATTGATAATATGAGAGGAAAGAATCTAGTCCCGAGCTCCATTTTTAACGAAGAAGTATCCTGCGCAAACACTAGAACATTGAGTGACGATCTTCGATCGTCTATATGTTTGGTGAGCCACCTAACGAAATGCAAGTTTTGGTACAGACACGGAAATGGCTGCTTATCGACCACCACATTAAGTTCGGTGTGTGGTGCGATCAGATAACTTGTTAATGAAGGAAAAAAAAACACTAAAGTGCTGGCCCGAAAATGGAATTTAACTATGTTAACTATGGAAACTATTAGCTCCGTGGGCTTTTGAAGGTCCTATTCTTAAAGACGGGTTAATACGAGCAGTTAAGCGTAATGAGCCTTACTATAGGCAGGGTAGGCAAGAATTTGAAACATGTTGGTCGCAGCATCACTTTCTTAAAAAACATTGGATTACACTTTGCAATAGGGAGCCACCATTTTAGCTCATCTTAGAAACAACATACACGTCATTGGTTTCCCTATGCAGATAGGTGCTTTTATGGGTGAGCCAGAAGTAATGGTTTCTTAATGTAAAATGTGGTCCAATAATTGATACTGCTAATTTGACCTAATAAGCACACGTGCTAATGTATCAAGTTTAGTAATATAACAAGGAACACATTTTTAGGAACACGATAGATTGCTTCTTTTAGGCTTTCTTCGTAATTTCTCATAAAGAATAGTTTAGCCGGCAAATGTTACTTTTCATGAACAGCAGAGGCTTTGTTTCTTTATTCCTCATCAATTTAAGAACGGCAAGTTTACAACAAAAATTACAATTTTCCCCCGATTTTTTATGGTGTTGGTTTCCCTCGACTGAATGTTAAAGAGTCGAATAATTTCAGAGGAAGCAACCAACTGATCAGTTGCCCCTAGTTTCCTATCGAAACTTCAAAGTTTAACTTTTCGATCTAACGCGACAATCGACAAAATAAGAGACGCAACGGGGCCATACTTTGCGATAAATCGATTGATCTGCCATTTAAACCTATGGAAAGGGATCGATAAACAGGGTGTTCGCACCGAACACCTTGATAATCGATTATTTGCCATAGCTTCAAATGGAGAAATATCGATAATCGATCATTCACGTCTCGCCACTGCTCTCAAGTCTGAAAGACACGGAGACCTCACGGCAGCATTGAGCGGAGCGTTGAGAGTTCACGCCTTCCGCCATCGCGCCTTCAATTTTGCAGATGCAGCACGGCCATCTATCGAGTGCGATTAGTTGCATCTCTGCGCCGTTATTAACGCTCGTCCTCTCTTCCATTCTTTTTCAATGTTGTGTTGGTTCCGTTTATCTTGTTTTGATAGTGGTGCTTTGAGGGCTACGTGAGCAACATAGTCGAGGATACTATAGACATGGGCAGGCCTCGATCTTTAACTTTTCTCTCAAACCCTTTCCTGGCAGCGTAGAGCTGAGCGATGCGAGTTCACGCCTCGCACTATCGCGCCTTCAATTTTGCGGATGCAACATGGACATCCATCAAGCACGAATAGTTGTATCTCTGCGCCGACATTAACGCGCGTTGAGGTATTTCTCGTTTATGAAATTGGAAAATTACAATTAAGTCTCTTCAAAATACACTGTGTGATGTGTTCCAATCAATTATAATCATTTTGAGAAGAAAAGAAAAAAAAAAAAAAAACACGTTCAGAGGCCTCCCAAGATCCCTAAACACCGCACGTAAAATTGGCATTGTGACAAGAGTTGTGTTGTCCCAAACAACGGTGAAAATTTCAAAAAAGAGTATTTTTCATCTTCGATTGCATAGATAATTCTATAATAAATCTATGAAATGTTGAAATTCTTTAAAAATCAATGTATTTAAATACACGGGTCAATTCTAGTCGACTTGAGACTTCCCGTATGAAAAAAATGTTGGGCCCGTAGAAGTTAAAGAGAGAGAGCATAATGTTCGAATCACTATAAATAGGACTACATTTTGCAATTTAGAACTATGAATTCTAACCCGGTTTAAAAATGACATAATGCACCAGTAGTTTCCCTATGCACAAAAGTGTTTTTCCGGAAGAGCCAGAATTTATAGTTCCAAATTGCAAAATGCAGTCCAATAGTCCTCACGATTGGTATATTTGCCTTAGACTCTTAGCGGATTTGGGGATTTTTCGTGAAATTTTACAACTGATCAATTATAGATCCTAGAACCTTGCGTGGACAATGCAAGGGCTCCATTATCATGGAAGTAAATATTGAAACAATGAACAATAACCGAACTTTAAGTTTTCGAATACTAAACAAGAATTTCCGCTTCAGTATCATCAGTTCTCAAGTTGGAGTTGGAAGGTCTTCCGAGGCAATCTTTTTCACTTAATTTCTTATGTGATTACAGCTATAAAGTATGAATGAACGTTTCAAATTGTGGGTAGGTAGTTCCTACAGTGAATTCCTCCGCCCGTATTTCACAGACTGCACTCCACACGACCTCCTAAGATAATTCATTATAATGTGCATTTAATAACGCCTTCGGATAAGCCAGCCAGGACATTTTTTCTTGATCACAGCAATTGGCAAGGACAGGTAAATATTTCAGTACAGATTGGATTTTTCCTTTGTGTGAGCGTGCGTCCGTACAAACATGTGCCAGTGTGTAGACGGTTGCAGAAAAGTTGGTGCAAATATAAAGTTAAAACCCCTTGCCCCTTGTCATGAAATTTTCATTGAAATAAGTCATTAGAAAAGAATCTGCGTTCAAAAAGGACGACATGAAAATAAGTTAAACTTAGAATAATCAAAATATGATGCGGTAAATGCATTATCGATTACATATTGAACTGAATGTAATGTAAAACGAACGCTGAGAATCTTAGGAGATTATTAATTCCTTAGTAACACCACTTTATTTTACTTGACAGTTTGTTTGTGCAGCCAAGGACGATTCCATTCCGATTAAAGTTCGTTTAAAATTTTCTTGCTGATTTAACGAAAATTCCTCCGGGCTGAATGTTGAAATTGGTAGATAAATCTATAGACAAAGATGACAAAAAGGATATAGGGATCCTATCAGTTGAAGCGGGTGGTTGCGATCGATAAAGGAGCACGAATTTCAACGAATAGGATGTATATTGGCTTGTCTATCAATTTCATCAATCAGCCCGCCAGTGGTTTTTACAGGAAAAGCATTGCCTGGAAGTATATTATCTCGAATTGAGGAGTTCGTCCTTTCGTATCATTATCGACCGAAGTGAGATAAGCAACATACGTTGGAAATATATTAACTTCTTTTTACACTCATCTACCGAATGCATTCTGTTTTCAATATTAATTGTTTCTATTGTATAGGAGCTCAATATGATGGTAGAAAACACAGCACCCTTGTCCCAGAATCAACTGTTCGATTACATTCGATCATTGATCCTCGTCGAACAACGGGAAAATAACGCGTTTTATGTTTTAGATCTGGGTGTCGTCGATTCCCTCTTCAACACTTGGTCGTTCAACTTCCCGGTGATTCAACCCTTCTACGCCGTGAAATGCAACCCTCACGTTCCTTTCCTTAAACGATTGGCCGAGCTTGGGACAGGGTTTGACTGCGCTAGCTATGCCGAGATCCAGACCGTTCTGTCCATCGGGGTTCCGCCGAACCGAATTATCTTCGCCAACACTTGCAAACCTGATTCCCACATCAAGTACGCGGCTGAGGTTGGCGTTAACCTGACGACGTTCGATTCGGAAAGCGAACTCGAAAAGATGAAAAGACTTCACCCCACGTGTGAGCTCTTGATCCGGATAAGGGTACCCGATTTAAGGGCTGTCAGCGACCCGCATGATGCTAAGTTCGGCGCACTTCCCGACGAAATAGCTCCTCTCCTGAGAACAGCTCGAGCTCTAGGACTCAACATCGTCGGCGTTTCGTTCCACATCGGGAGCGGAGCTGTCGATTTCGGGGCATTCGAAGAGGCCATCGCGGCAGCGAAATCCGCATTCGAAATCGCGACCCAAGTTGGTTTTCCTGAAATGCGGATCTTGGATATTGGGGCTGGGTTCAACTCCGGTTCGAGGTTCATCGGGGCTGCGTTGGCTGTGAAAAGAGCTTTGAAAAAGAACTTCCCCGACCGTGAAGCTTTGAGAATCTTGGCGGAGCCTGGCCGTTACTTCGCCAGATCGCCTTTCACTCTGGTGACTTGCATCATGGGGAAGAGAGTTCGAGGCGACGTGAGGGAGTATTGGATCGACGACGGGATCTTCGGATCCATGTGTTGTTTGAAGAGTGACCAAGGTCATGACGAACTGAAGTTGACTCCTCTGGTTCTTCGTGGCTCAGCGAGGCTGGGGACGATGACATACAGAAGTACGATTTTCGGACCGACTTGTCATCCTCTCGACGTTGTTTCGAGAGGCTACAAACTGCCGGATTTGGAAGTGAACGACTGGTTGGTGTTTCACAACATGGGAGCCTATACTTCTGCGGCGGGCACTGATTTCAATGGATTCAAAACTTCAGCCATTCCAACGTACGCTGCGCAATCTAGTCGGAGTGGATGACTATAGACAGGGCCAGCATTCAGCCGACACGGGTCGCGTTATTTCATCAAAATTATACGCAAATCACGTTGATTCTATAAAAAAACCCGAAATCAACATCGGGTTGATTATTTAAATTAATAGACATAGCGATAGAAAAAGAGGACGAAAAAATGGGGCGATTCTTATTGGTGAAAGCGTACGATGGAGAAAGGCGGTGAGGAATAATTAAGTGTGGCAACCAACGATGGGACCCTGTAGTTACTCAAAGCTCATCGGTACCCCTTTGTCTATCACAACCACCCGTTTCTACCAGTATAATCGCTCCATTTTCCCGTCGTCTCCTTTGTCTATCGCTTTATCTATCAATTTCAATGATTAGCCCAATTATTAGGGAGAAATCAGCTCTTCGTTCCAAATTAGAGTAACAGAATTCAGACTTAAATCGGTAGTTAAAAACAAAATTTGGAAAATACGAGTATGAGGCTATAGTTTCGGGGCCTGCTTCTGCTTTGATACATCGTGATTAAAAACTTGGAGAAATGATCCAACGCACCACCTTTAAAAATAATTTTACTCCGTTCCCATAATAAAGATGAGTTGGGTCAACTGAACTCGAAATTCATGTCGAATGAGGCTTGATTTGGAGGCAATTATTGTACTTTAGACTCACCTAAAGTCAAATGAATCAAAATTTAGAGCCCCTTACCTGTAGTCCCATAAATCAAAAAGTCCTTGCCTCTAAGTCAAGCCATAATTTATTCGATCGCATATTCAACGTGAGAACAGAATTATATTCATTTTATACACTGAAAGAAAGTACCATTTCATTGTAAATTGTATTTCAGTGGCATTTAGTTTTCCGTTTTTAGCCTCATTTTTTTTTGTATTTGGTTTGTCATAATTTATGCTAGATTAATAAATGAAATAACATTTCTTTGTGGGTTATAATGACATTTTGTATGATTTCATAATCGGGGTCAAATTCATAGTCGTTCCTTAATCAGCTTTTTTGCTCAGGGCTGCCGTGCTAAGGAGAAACGCCGTATGAGCCTTCAGACGTTGCCTAATTTCCTATGATATAAACGGAATTTGCTAGGAAGTTTGTGAATACTTTTTCCCAGAATTTTCAGAAAATTTTGTGCGTAATTTAATCTATAATATCTGACAATTTCAAAGAAAAATATGCATGAATGTTATGTTGTCAAAAATACATGTTTTATCGAGGGAAATTTGGCAACTTTCGAATGTTCATACGGCGTTCTTCCTCATCACGGCAGAGGAATGCTCCATACATAGTGAGCAATGCGAGCTCACGCCTTCCGCCATCGCGCCTTCAATTTTGTAGATGCAACATGGACATCCATCAAGCACGAATAGTTGTATCTCTGCGCCGTCATTAACGCTCGTCCTCTCTTCCATTCTATTTCAATGTTGTGCTGGTTCCGTTTATCTTGTTTTGATAGTGTTGCTTTGAGGGCTACGTGAGCAACATAGTCGACAACATGTCTCTCGTTTATGAAATTAGAAAATTACAATCAAGTCTGCCCTAATATACTATGTGATGTGTTCCAATCAATTATAGTCATTTAAAAAAAAAAAAAAAAAAAAAAAAAAAAAAAAAAAAACAAAAAAAAACAAAACACGTCCAGAAGTCTCCCAAGAAAATTGGTATCATGACAAGAATTGTGTTATGTCAAATAACGGTGACCATTTCAAAAAAACAATTTTTTATTTTCAATTGCACGAATAATTCTATAATAAATCTTTAAAATTCAAAAATTCTTTTTAAATCAATGTATTTAAATGCATGGGTCAATTCTAGTCGACTTGAGACTTCCCGTATGAAAATAATCTTGGGCGCGTGAGAGTAATTTTCGAATCACTTTAGATAGTCCTGTTTAGATTGTCCTAACGGTTGGCAGATTTGCCTAAGACTCTAAGCGGATTTGGGGATTTGATGCGATGCAACAAAGCAATGCAATTGCACAATGAAAGGGCTCCGTTATCATGGAAGTAAATACTGAAACAATGACCAATAACCTGACTTTAAGTTTTTGAATACTAATCAAGTATTTTCGCTTCAGTATCATCAGTTCTCAAGTTGGAGTTGGAAGGTCTTCCGAGGTAATCTTATTCACTTAATTTCTTATCGATGGTGAATGTGCAGAAGTGCGTAGCTCGATTTTTGACAGTTTTGAGTTAGCTGCATAAACGTGTAGTTGAAGATGTCGTCTATCAGCCAGCGAGAGATGATAATCGAAACAAATCGGGGAGTCACCTAAAACCATAGAACTTTTTTCGCGTATCTCGGGCTAAGTGCAGGAATGCGTATCTCGTTCAGGCCTCTTCATTTTTCGGCGCGCCTTACGCACAACCAATTACAACCACGCGCTCCTCAGCAGCGTTTCCCGCCAACACCGCACATCAGCTGATCAGCTGTTCTGTGTTTGTTTTCAATGGTTTTCATTTATTTATCTAAAAGAAAAGTTGATGTGGATAAGTGTGGATAATCAGGCAGTCCAGCATGCATAATATCAGTGAATGCTGGTGATAGGCCGATAGACGAGGGAAGGGGGGGATTAGGTACTGTTACTTGTCATTAATGTTGCATACGCTTGTAATTGAAGGCGGATTATCACTCGAGGGCCCTCCAGTAACATTTCTTCATAGGTATCTAGTACCTACTAGCAGCGCGCGGCGTTCATGTCCATTATCACTCTCTGGGCAAATGCAATCATGAACTGATTGAACTGACGGTTCATCACAACGGTCAGTTTTATTAGAGTCAATCCGGTCAAACAATGCTTCATTTAGTGTATTAGATCGACTAAAGCGTCTAAATAAGTTTAAAGGTTGAATAAATTCTACTTTTGATCTTAATGATCAAGAGTAGCTTCAAAACGCTAATTGCAGAAATGCGTATCTCGTAATCTAATGTCAGTTTCCAATCATACAATGCTTGATCCGGTCGGATGAGGTCAAACTAAAGCTTCTGATAAAGAATTGTAAGCATGAAACCCTTTTTTCAGTTTTTAAATGATCAAAATCCGCCAACAATATAGGTTTAAAACACTAATTGCAGAAATGCGTATCTAGTGATCTAATGTCAGTTTCCAATCATACAATGCTTGATCCGGTCGGATGAGGTCAAACTAAAGCTTCTGATAAAGAATTGTAAGCATGAAACCCTTTTTTCAGTTTTTAAATGATCAAAATCCGCCAACAATATAGGTTTAAAACACTAATTGCAGAAATGCGTATCTAGTGATAAAGTGTCAATTCATAGTACCAAAAACGCGAATCTCGGCATTTCGGCCGTATTTTCTAACAGCGCGAGAAATTATTCAAAATATTGATGAAGTCTAAAAAAGCATCTTATTCTTGCTATCCTCAAGAATTATTACCCTTCTACTGACAATAAGGAGGAGTGTAGACAGTATTTTACTCCCCTGAAAAATCGTGTTTCCTGAGATAAACACTTCTGCACTTTCACCGTCGTTATGTGATTCCAGCTACAGTATGAATGAATATTTCAAAGTGTGGGCCCAGCAATCTTCAGTACATTCCCCGTCCCGCATTTCACAGACTGCACTCCACTCGGTTCCCAAGATAATTCATAATAATACATATTTCATAACGCCTTTGGATAAGGCAGATAGAACATTTTTTCTTGAGCACAGCAATTAGCAGGGACCGGTAAATATTTCGGTACGGATTGGATTTTTCCTTTGTGTGAGTGTGCGTCCGTACAAACATGAGCCAGTGTGTAGACGGTTGCAGAAAACTTAGTGCAACAATAAAGTTTATAAACTTAAAAATCCTTATCCCTTGTCATGAAACTCTCGTCAAAATAAGTCATTGGAAAGGGATCCACGTTCAAAAAGGACGACAAGAAAATACATTAAACTTAAAATAATCAAAAAGTGATATGGTAAATGCATAGGTTATAATATTGAACTGAACGGTTGGTTGGTATATACGTTTATATGGTGCTTTTAACAACTGAGCCATTAACATCTCAGAGGCGCGATCAAAATAGTGTAGTACAGAATTTCAAAAAATTAAAAAGTAACGGTCACAAAAGGGTAGTACAAAAAAGTAAATGATTAAAGGGGAAAAGATAGGACAAGGAAAGAATTCATTAAATTTGGAGATTTATTCGTTTGAAAAAGAAAGGGATTTCATGAAAAAACTTAACAATGTAAAACAAACGCATGAGAGTCTGAAGGGCTTAATTCCATAGTAACACCATAAAGTTGTACTTGGCAGTTTATTTGCGTAGCCAAGGATGATTACATTCCAGTTAAAGTTCGTTTAAACTTTTCTTGGCGATTTGACGAAAATTCCTGGAAACTATTAATGCCCTGACTTCAAGGCACATTAAACAAAAATGATGCCCACAGCGGGCTGATTGTTGAAATTGGTAAACAAAGCAATAGGCAAAGAAAACAATAGGAGTATGGCGGGATCCTATTGGTGGAGGTGGGTGGTTGCAATGAACAAAGGAGGTAGGTAATCGACTACCCTGAAAAAAATACGAGATAATAGACATACCGTCCTTGTTCCGGGCTCAGAGGCCGAAAGTTCCGAGTGCTGGAGCCGTAGCTTCGATTACGCTGGGTGCTACACCCGAAACTTTTTTCCTCTGAGCCCGGGACGAGGACGATATGTCTATACAGGGTGGCCCAGACCTACCGTACCAGGCCTTTTTTTCGGTTAATTTGGGTCGCACGAAGTCCAGGATCGCCGAGATGAACAGGGAATCGACCCCAAGGAATCCGAATTTCATGGTCTCAGAGCCCCCCTGGCGCCCCTTGGGGGGGGGGGTAAAAGGGGGGTCCGCTCTTCAAAAGTCAGGGTTAATTTCAAAATTTAGACATTAACCCTGACTTTTGAAGTGCAGACCCCCCTTTTACCCCCCAAGGGGCGCCAGGGGGGCTCTGAGACCATGAAATTCGGATTCCTTGGGGTCGATTCCCTGTACATCTCCGCGATCCTGGACTTCGTGCGACCCAAATTATAGTCTGTCCCAGATACGAAGAGCCCTGGAAAATCCGAGTAATTAGCACTATTTGGCGGGTTGGGGTGCCTGGACCCTCGTCACCTGTCATCTCGTCGCCTCTCACATGCGTCGCACAGAGGGTCGCAAGCCACCTTGAGGCAACGCATACTCCCTTCGCATCTTTCCGCGATGGTTTTCCCCGAGGGCCAGGAGCGGATTCCCGGCGTAAGACGCCAACGCGCCGCGGAGCTCATAACCAACCCTCTGTACGGTGCGGGGTTTGCTCGGTGATTAGTCGGGCACAATAGAACGAACGATACCTTGCTTCTACATAGTGCAAATTATTCTGATTTTCCAGGGCTCTTCGTATCTGGGACAGACTATAACCGAAAAAAAGGCCTGGTACGGTAGGTCTGGGCCACCCTGTATAACTCGTGAGTACAGCCTACGGCCGGAGATTTTTTCTCAGTGTACCTAACAACAGCCAACGGGAGACCCGATAATTAATCCATAATTTTCTCCCTAAGCTAGTCAATCGCTAGGCTAAGCTAGTCTATTTTCTCCTATAGCCGGTAAAAATCACCTATTTCCAGGGACGGACTGGCCATGAGGGCGGGGAGGTAATCTCCCCCTAACAATTTGCCGCGGAGGTCCCGAAGGGGCCCCCGCGGCGAATTTTTTTCGAGTCATCGTTTTTTTCCCGTAATGTTGTAATTTTCTTATCCTTTTCAATCACTAAAAGGCCCCGAATTCCTTGAAAATTTGTCTCTAAGAGACACGGAAGGTCGCCAAAAGCATTTGTGACGAAGGGACCCCCGGTGAATCCTGAGAATGGGTTATTTTGAAGTTCAAGTACTGTAGAATCCAACTCCAAGTATGCCTTTGTGTTTAAAAAGTATGAAATTTTCATAATTTACCAGGGGAGGGCCCCCGGACCTCCTTAGAGGGGCCCCCGAACGACAGGAGGGGCCCTAACATTTAGGTCTCCACTTAACTTTTCGACTACCAGTCCGCCCCTGTGTGCCGCCACTGCGGTTTTGACCGTTAAGGCTGTAGGTTAAAGGCTCTAAAGCCAGGATTGTATTTCGCAAACAGAAAATTTGTGCAGGATAATTAAAAATTAAGAAGCAGGAGTAATTTAACTAAATAATAAACGGAACTCAGATCTACAATAAAATGCAAAACAATTTGGAAAGTCTCGTCATGTAAATACAGAAGATTCGAAATCGCCTTCAACTGAAGCGTGATACCTCACGCGTTCCGGAGAGTTCAAATAGTTGTATCCCTGCGCCTTAGCAAGGCGATGGAAGATTAATATTGAAGTAGCGTGCCCGCTTGGTTTTTCGGCTTTCCTGTGTCGCCGGCACAGGAGATAAAGTCCGCGCCTTTAAAGTCCGACTTTGCGTACTTTTTGAGGTCCCCCATCATTTGCACCTAAAAAAATCAGCACTGCGCACCATTTCAACCAATTGGATCCCTATATCATTTTTGTCTATTGGTTTGTCTATCAATTTCAACAATCAGCCCAACGGTGGTTTTCACAGAAAAAACATCGCCTGGAAGTATTTCTTCTCGAATTTAAGAGTTCGTCCTTTCTTATCATTACCGACTGAAGTGAGATAAGCAATATTCGTTTGAAATATTAACTTCTTTTCACAATCTTTTACCAATAATATTCTGATTTCAATATCAATTGTTTTTTTTGTACAGGAACTGAATATGATGGTAGAAAACACAGCACCCTTGTCCCAGAATCAACTGTTCGATTACATTCGATCATTGATCCTCGCCGAACAACGAGAAAATGACGCGTTTTATGTTTTAGATTTGGGTGTCGTCGATTTCCTCTTCAACACTTGGTCGTTCAACTTCCCGGTGATTCAACCCTTCTACGCCGTGAAATGCAACCCTCATGTTCCTTTCCTTAAACGATTGGCCGAGCTTGGGACAGGGTTTGACTGCGCTAGCTATGCCGAGATCCAGACCGTTCTGTCCATCGGGGTTCCGCCGAACCGAATTATCTTCGCCAACACTTGCAAACCTGATTCCCACATCAAGTACGCGGCTGAGGTTGGCGTTAACCTGACGACGTTCGATTCGGAAAGCGAACTCGAAAAGATGAAAAGACTTCACCCCACGTGTGAGCTCTTGATCCGGATAAGGGTGCCCGATTTAAGGGCTGTCAGCGACCCGCACGATGCTAAGTTCGGCGCACTTCCCGACGAAATAGCTCCTCTCCTGAGAACAGCTCGAGCTCTAGGACTCAACATCGTCGGCGTTTCGTTCCACATCGGGAGCGGAGCTGTCGATTTCGGGGCATTCGAAGAGGCCATCGCGGCAGCGAAATCCGCATTCGAAATCGCGACCCAAGTTGGTCTCCCTGAAATGCGGATCTTGGATATTGGGGCTGGGTTCAACTCCGGCTCGAGGTTCATCGGGGCTGCGTTGGCTGTGAAAAGAGCTTTGAAAAAGCACTTCCCCGACCGTGAAGCTTTGAGAATCTTGGCGGAGCCTGGCCGTTACTTCGCCAGATCGGCTTTCACGCTGGTGACTTGCATCATTGGAAAGAGAGTTCGAGGCGACGTGAGGGAGTATTGGATCGACGACGGGATTTTCGGATCCATGTGCTGTTTGAAGAGTGACCAAGGTCATGACGAACTGAAGTTGACTCCTCTGGTTCTTCGTGGCTCAGCGAGGCTGGGGACGATGACATACAGAAGTACGATTTTCGGACCGACCTGTTGCCCTCTCGACGTTGTTTCGAGGGACTACAAACTGCCGGATTTGGAGGTGAACGACTGGTTGGTGTTTCACAACATGGGAGCCTATACTTCTGCGGCGGGCACTGATTTCAATGGATTCAAAACTTCAGCCATTCCAACGTACGTTGCGCAATCTAGTCGGAGTGGATAACTATAGACAGGGCCAGAATTGAACGTATTTCTATCAAACAGACTTATGTGGAGGTGAGAAATATGGGGTGTGCTCGTCAGTTCTCTGGCCGTAACAGTGAATGAGAATAATAAAGCGCCAGTGACGTCAACGGAGATGGATGCGCATTCGTCGCGTCGTGCGTCGTATTTGTCGTAGTGGTCATCAACTCATGAGCCCTGTCCACAACGCTCTCGTGCCACATCCGCGGCTCATTACATCCCGCATTCAGTTGCCACATACTTCTCTTTGCTCAATTTAAAATCCCGCTTTTCCAATCCTTGAAAGGAATCACGCCCACTGACCACATTGTTTCTTATGCTGCTTTCTAGAGCACACCCCATATTTCTCACCTGCTGCACATAGTTCTGTTTGATAAAAATACGTCCAATTCAGTCGACACGGGTCGCGTTATCTCATCAAAATTATACGCACATCCCGCTGATCCTACTAATAATACCCGAAATCAAAATCGGGCTGATTATTAAAATTGATACATAAAGCGATAGACAAAGAAGACAAAGAAATGGGACGATTCTCATTGGTGAAAGTGCGATGGAAAAAGGCGGTGAGAAATAATGGAGATGTTGCATGCGTGAGGAATTTGCGATTTGACCAATGATTCTTATGTACTTAATTGTTCGCGAGAAACACGGATGGTGCCACCGGTTTTCTCTGAATTCAACTCCGAAGGTCAAAAAAAGCTCTCAAGTTGAGGCTAAAATGGAGGGGATATCCCACGCTATTCTGGAGGTCCACCTCTACATCAAGACAAACTCTCCATGTAAAGATAGGGAGGAAATGAGGAAATACATTGACAGGGCTGCCACTTTATTTGGGGACTCTAAAACTGGAAACACGGCAACCCTGCTAATGTATTTGCTCCCCATCTTTGCATTGAGAGTTTGTCTTGATGTAGAAGTGGACTCTCAGGATAGCGTGGGATATTCCCTCCATTTTGGCCTCAACTTGAAAGCTTTTTTGAGCTTGGGAGTTAATTTCAGAGAAAACCAGTGGCACCATTGTGTTTCTCGCGAACTTTTACATAGCAATCAACAAACAAATCGCAAATTCCTCACACTTGCAACATCTCTATAATTGACTGTGGTAGGTAACCCACGATGGATCCCATGGTGGGTTACTTAAAGCTCATCGGTACCCCTTAGTCTATCACAACCATCCATTTCTACCGGTATAATATAGCTCCGTTTTCCCGTCGTCTCCTTTGTCTATCAATTTCAATGATTAGCCCGATTATTAGGGAGAAAATGAGATCTGTAGAGTAACAGAATTCAGACTTCCCGCTCAAGAACGGAACCGAAATTAACGTAACTCAAATCGGTAGTTGAAAACAAAATTTGTGAAATATTATGCTTTTGTTTCGGGACCTGCTCCTGCTTTGATACATCGTGATTAAAAACTTGTAAAAAAGATCCAACGCAGCACCTTTAAAAATAATTTCACTCCGTTCCCATAATACAGATGAGTTGAGTCAACTGAACTCGAAATTCGTGTCCAGTGAGGCTTGATTAGGAAGCAATTACTGTAATTTAGACTCACCTAAAGTCAAATGAATCAAAATTAAGACCCCATTACCTGTAGTCACATGAATCAAAAAATCCTTGCCTCCAAGTCAAGCCATAATTTATTCGATCGTATATTCAACGTGAGAACAGAATTATATTCATTTTACACACTGAAAGAACGTACCATTTCATTGTAAATTGTATTTCAGTGGCATTTAGTTTTCCGTTTTCAGCCTCATTTTTTTGTATTTGTTTTGTCATAATTTATGCTAGATTAATAAATGAAATAACATTTCTTTGAAGGTTATGATGACATTTTGTATGATTTCATTATCAGGGTCGAATTCATAGTCGTTCCTTAATCAGCTTTTTTGCTCAGGGCTGCCGTGCTAAGGAGAAACGCCGTATGAGCCTTCAGACGTTGCCAAGTTTTCTTTGATGAAAAAAATTGTTTTCCAAAATTTTCAGACAATTTTGTACGTAATTTAATCTAAAATTTCTGAAAATTTCAAAGAAAAATATGCATGCGCATGGATGTTGTCAAAAATACATGTTTTATCGAGGGAAATTTGGCAACTCTCGAATGTTCATACGACGTTGTTCCTTAGGACGGCGGAGGAATGCTATATATACATAGTGGTTTATGTTCTGATTTAAAAGGCCTTAAGGAGGGCATTAAGGTGATTCGATGGACGCCATATTTTGTGTCAGAACGGCATGCGATATATCGCATCAATGGGCCTGTTGCAAACTTTTGCTAGAGCAAAACTAAGAGTTGTTTCCTACAGATAATGCCTCAAAAATCACGATGAGCGCATCGGCAAAGTCTGAAATGCACTCATAACTTCACAATCTGCGTAAGAAATTTGCGTTTTTTT